ACCGTTGACCTGGGCAATCGAATCATTCAATGGTTTTGGCTATTTTTTTATTTTTTGTCAGAACGGACCATCTATTTGGTTCAAACGGCCGGACCATTTGACCCAGGAACCAGACCCCTGGCCGGTTCATTGTCCGATTCGGTTTTAAAAAACCTTGGTATCTCATACTTCATCCATAAGAGAGGGTATTCCTATATCCACCTAAGTATTCTTGACCCTAAATCCGTTTAAATTTTCCTTTCAATTTTCCAAATCCATCCCATTCTAAACCTGTTAAAACCTATTATGACCTCTCTCTCTCTCTCTTCACTCGATTAAACTTGCCAGAAAATGGTTATTTTAATTAAGATTTCAAATTTTGAAATTTTATATAATGCTTTCAGAAATTTATATGTTGAATTCTTAGTTCATTAAAATTTTAAATATTTTATAGTATAATTTTCTTTATATAATTTAATTTATAGGTTATATACAAAAAAAAGCAAAATATTTTACAAAATATATGGTGAAATCCCAAATTTTCCAGGAAGATTTCAAATTTTTATTTGAAGTAAATTCATTCAATTTTTTGTTTTTGTTTTGGATTTTGTGTTATCATACATCAAATCAAAATTGATCAGTTCCTTTTTTTTCTTTTTTGAAATTTTCTCAAAATATAAAATCATGATTCTGATGTAGTGGCAAGGGTTTATTTGTCTCAAATTTGGAATGAGGAAAGTGAGATGGGAGCATGCATCTTTTCTCAGGCCAAACCAATTTGCCATGGGATACAAGGGTACATTATTTCTTATGAAACAGGATTCAGCAGCGCAAAGTCCATTCGAACAGTCATCATAGTCTTGCATTGAGAAGATCTCTCCATGAAATAAAACATAGAAGTACGGAAATGCAAGGCTATAAAGGTTGTTCGAACAATAATCAAATGGATTTTGCTCTGACTGAAGCTGATCTCATTTCTTATAAAATATAGATGTACCTATCCCAAAATGAATACTATTAGGGTTGGGATAGGTCGGATACCCAAAAATTTCTTGCAAAAGTGTCATCCCTACTTAAAAACTTATAAATCAAAATCCAACTTAATCATTGGCTTTTAGGTTTTCAAAATGTGTCATAAAAATACAATTGAAAGGCTACGGGTTGGGTTGAATTGGTACCTGGTTGAACCCTATTGTGTTAAGGAGGGTTTGGAAACTACATGTTGTTGAGCCAAGTGAGGTTTAGGTTAAGATAGAGGCAAACCCATAATGAACCTGGCCTGTTGACATCCCTAGATTTTCCTTTCTTTTCATGGAGTTCAGCTTCAGTCAGGGCAAACTCTGTTCGGGCAGCCTTTACTGCCTTGCATTGAGAATATTTCCATACTTATATGCTTTATTTCATGGGGAGATATTCCCAATGCAAGGTTGGGAAAGGCTGTTAGAACGGTGTGGGCATGGATTTGCCCTGACTGAAGCCGGTCTCCTTTTCATGTAACCATTTCTAGAGACATTCACTAACGAATAGTGAAGTAAAGCAGGTACAAACTGAGGGGTGCCTTAATAAGAGTCCAGGTCTGCTTCTCACAAAGCGTTCCTCACACCGACCTCACAGCATGTCTCTTCCGCACATTGGGAATATCTCCCATACTTGTATATCATTATTCAGGGGAGAAGTTCCCAATACATGGTGGGATGTGGTTGTGAGGAGCACTCTGTGAGGTCGGTATTTTATAGGGTGTCCAAGAATGACCCTATAAAATATTATAGACATGCCCAATTTTTCTACATTTTTATATTTTTGATTTTTATTTATTTAATTTATAACATCTCATGTTGATCAATTTAACAAACAATTGAAGACTTGCTACTTGGATTGAAAAGCAATTCCCTTTCTAAGGTGGTGTTTGGCATTGATGTCATTGCTCCAGAAAACGGTGACACATCAGCGCCACGTTGGAAAAATTGGTGCTCCAAAAAACGGTAACATGTTTGGAACCGTTTTTCCATAAAAAACGGTGCTTCAAACCACACCTTGGAAATAGAAAAAGTGTAGTCTGGGAAAACGGAATTCGACATTTTCTCAATTTGGAGCTCGTTGCTGCCAACGAGGACATGATGTGGCAGTGATGTAAACTTCTTATAAAGAGTACCAATGCTGAAAATAGATACGGAGCACTGGTACCAAACAAAAGGTGTTGTTGTTGCCCCAGGAAACGTCCTACCTGGCAGCAACATTTCCAAACAAACAAAAAAAAACACCATTTTCTCAAAAAAACATGCTTCCAACCCACACAGCAGCATCGATGCCAAATATATACCAAGCCACTTTTTGAAACACGTGACAGACTAAGGGCTTATTTGGTTACATTGACATCTAACACCTAGAGAGAGAAAAAACTCTGACCAAAGGACCTTGAAAAATTATGATTTTATGCTTATGCTAACATCTAATTGCAAAAATTATTGTTCTCAAATCTGAATGTTGAGCTCTATGAAATTATTGTTTTCAAATTTGGTTTGGTTTGGTTCCAAGGCAGAATCTACAACCTACCATGTAGGGTTCAAATCTAGATTTTTTTTTTGCCTTGTGTAGTTTTAGGATCGGTTCTAGAGCCTATCCATGGAACTTATTCTTTCTTTACCCCCCTCCAAAAAAAAAGGAACATGTTCTTTAAAAATTTGATTTCAATAAGAACAACAACAATAACAATAATACAGTTCAAAACTTATCATTATAATATAAACTTTGTAAATATTACCTTTTACATTACTTATTATACACATCCAAATACTAAATTGAAGAAAAATGATAAAATCACTTAAGTGTCTAAATGGTCAAGTGAGACCACCGTCTTTGTAACCACGAGTTCTCAAGTTCAAATATTTGCATCCAAAGTATTTTTGGGATTTATTTCAAGGCAAGCTTGATTAACAAGGCCAATTCCACATGGCCAATCAAGGATAGTTCTCCGAATTGGTTCAAATAGGATAAACCCTTAGACCTTAGAACTAGCCTAGGTGGGGATTGGTTCCAAGAATTTGGAACCAAACCCTACCTGATTACAAATTGGGTTTGGCTGGTTCAAGGTCGATTTAGGGTTGGTTACATTTGGTTTTTCGTAGAACCTACCCATTTACCCACCCCTACACTCAACCATTTTAATTAATTATCTAAATAAATATTAAATATTTAAATAATAACCTAATTATTAAATATATTATTGTAAATATTAATTAATTAATTATAAAATATTAATTTTTATAATGGTTTTCAAAATCGATCGGACCAGAAAAATCGGTAACCGGTCAGCCCCCTGGGCCCGGTTATACTATAAACCGGAAATTCTTTAAAAACGTTGAAAAATTCAGAAAACCACTAACCCGGGTGGTCGGACCGCTAAACCATTCGACCCGGGTAGTGGTTCACAGATTATCCTTTTTATTTTCATTGTTTTAAATAAAATAAAAACCAAAAAATAAAATGACCTTCATATCCCAATCCCAAAATCGAATGTTTAGGGTTAGAACCCCATTTTCGTTCTAAACCAGTAATCCTTCCCTCCTCTTAGCCCTCACACCCAACCGACCACCTGCATTGGCCAGCACCTACGACATCCGGCGGTGACACACAACCTTCGATAGAGATTAATGGCAACTGGTGACGGCGGCCAACTTCATCTATGGCGGCAAGCATTTATTTTGCAACACTCTCCACCAGTAATAGTTGTGACAGGAAAGTTTGYAGCGGTAGGTGGCGAGTTTGCAGCGGTGGGTGGAGAGTTGCAGTGGTAGTAACACCACCATTGGCGATTCTACAAGTTGTAGCAGCACTTGTAGCGACAATCACCTATGACCAAGCCTGAGCCCATTGTCACACCACCATTACCGGCAGTGAAACCTTGAAGGACCTGAAGGTATACTTTTTTTTTTCTGAATTTTTTTGTGAGTTTAACTGATTCTTTGAATTTTTGGTTTAATTCTTTGTTTAATACTTTAACTAATCTTGTTTAATTATTTTTTTAATTCTTTGCTTAATTAATTATAGAGATTCACATACTCACATTGGCTTAATTAATTTTATTTTATTATTATTTTTCAACTCCTTGCTTATTTTTCTTTTTTTGTATTTTTTCTCTATTTATTTACAATTTTCTATTTTTCTGTATTTTTTCAGAATTTTCTGTACTTTTTTGTATTTTCTATTTTTATGTACTTTGTTATTTTTGTATTTAGATGGTTTTTTTTTCTATTTTTTATTTAATTTTATGCTATTTTTTATCATTTATAAATATATTTTTATTTTTAATTTATTTATGATGTCACGGGTCAAACCGTTCGACTTGGACGGTTGAATCGCTTAACCGGAACCAATCCCCTGACTAGTTCTGTTTCAGGTTAGTTTTTGAAAATCATGATTTTTATTATATAATTAAATAAATAATAGCTATTGTTTTAATTATTTAACTAATAACTAATTAAGTTTAATTAAATAAGTAATGATTAATTAGTTATTTACCTATTAAAACATTTGGCGAAGGACATTTTTGACAAAAGCAAAGTTTTAAAAAGTTATTGAGTATGGTCAATGAGAGAGGGTGAAGGGTCTTTGGTGATCTTACCAAACACCCCTGACATCTGAAAATTTTTTAACTTCCTAGAGGTCAGAGCTCGGTAAAAAATAAGAGGATCTGTTTGTCTCAGCAAAATACACAAACCACTGTGAATCCCATCCTAATCTGTCCTAAAACTAAAAGCTGTATAAGCTGCATCTCTCCCTTCATCTACTTCCTCCCTCCGTCCAAGTCCATATTATTTCTAACCTGACCTCGTGGAACTGGTATTTGGGTTGGGTTCGCCTACGCTAGAAATTACTTTTGGAAGACGAAACACTATCTATCTCAATTCTCAGACATAAGTAGTCATAACGCGTTTTGTTAGTGCCCTAAGACTACGTCTTCTCTCTCTCTCCTCCCTAATTTCCTCGTTCCTTCCCCAACACTTTCCCATGCCGCCCCCATAGACGATAGATAGATAAAAACTTAAACTTTCTCTGCACCGTGAGACTGGAACGACTCCACTCTGGCCACCTGCGCAATCCAAGTAGTCCTCTTAAACTGGCATAAGTCAATGGTTTAGACACGTGGACGTGGTCCTACATAGGTTGCCACCACGTAAGCCGCCGAGAGGAAGATATCCTCTGGTTCTATTCTATTATTGTGTGTATATACGAATGAAAATATTCAATTTTAAGGGTCACCCAGAAAAGTTCTTACTTCTCTTTCACGGCTGATAAGCTGATTCAAGCAGTTGACTTGAGGAGGCTGAGCCTGGTCTTTTTCCATTCCATGATCCATCCATCCTTCTATTCTATATCCTCTGTAGCTGTTCAAGAAGAACAGAGGAAAGGGAAATTCATCGATTCAGTCATTTTATTGAATATTCTAAAGATGAGGAGGCTTGGAGTGGGATTTGTTTGACAAGTCGCACCAGTCAGGCCGCGCCACCACCAGACCAATCAACAAATCCCGCGGTTTCAACGACCCCCACCTCAAACACTTTCTTTTTCTGTTTAAGCCAATTTCTGCAAGCAGCCCAGCTACCCACCTCYCTCAGTTGTTGCACAGGAAGACGAAAGTTTTCATCTTCCATAGTTTAGTATTGGTACCCGCGGGATAGATCTGATCTCTTGTCGATTTCGGTAGCTAGAGAGAGAAGATGAACGATCTATTCTCAGGCTCCTTCTCCCGATTCAGAAGCAACGACGTAGATCATGAACCGCCGTACTCCGGCGGAGGCGGCGGTGGTGGAGCTGTGCAGATGGGAACCGTGGGAGTGAACCTCGACAAGTTCTTCGAGGACGTGGAAGGGATCAAAGACGAACTCAAAGAGGAAGAGAGGCTCCACCAGCGTCTCCAAGATTCCCATGAAGAGAGCAAGACCCTCCACAACGCCAGGTCAATCAAGGACCTCCGAGCCCGGATGGATGCCGACGTCGCCCTTGCGCTCAAGAAGGCCAAGATGATCAAGGTCCGCCTCGAGGCACTGGAACGCGCCAACGCCGCTAACCGCAGCATCCCCGGCTGCGGACCGGGCAGCTCCTCGGACCGAACGCGGACGTCCGTGGTCAGCGGGCTGAGGAAGAAGCTCAAGGACCAAATGGAGAGCTTCAACACGCTGAGGGAGAGAATCTCGACGGAGTACAAAGAGACCGTGGAGCGGAGGTACTTCACTGTAACGGGGGAGAAGCCCGATGACCGGACGGTGGATGCTTTGATATCAACGGGGCAGAGCGAGAACTTGTTCCAGAAGGTGATACAGGAGCAAGGGAGAGGGACAGTGATGGACATCGTGTCGGAGATACAGGAGAGGCACGACGCGGTGAAGGAGATAGAGAAGAACTTGAGGGAGCTGCATCAGGTGTTCTTGGACATGGCGGTGCTGGTGCAGACACAGGGAGAGCAGCTGGACGACATCGAGAGCCAAGTGGCCCGGGCGAATTCCTTCATCAGGGGAGGAACCGAGAAGCTTGTTACAGCCAGGAAGCTTCAGAAGAATACTAGGAAATGGGCTTGCTTTGGGATCACCCTCCTGCTCATCGTCGTCCTCATAATTATTCTGTCACTCAAACCTTGGAATTGGGGGGGCAGCTCAGGCGGTGGTTCACCGGCAGCCCCGGTAACTTCAGCACCATCAACGCCAACACCGCCATCACCCCCACAGCAGTGAGTTCTCTGATCTGAATCTACTTTTATTTTACCCCCTTTTTTTTGTTTTTTACTTTTTTGCTTTTATTTGGGTTGCTTGATGCGTTGATGTATGTAATCTGATGATTTTCTCAGATTTTTTTTCCTTGCTGTTATTATTATTATTATCTTTATTTTTGGAATGAGGATGATCAGTGGAGCCAAAATTTGGATGTATTTTTAATGGTGAAATGGGCAGAAAAGGACGTTGACTTATCATCTTAAAAGGGAATTCTTTGGAGTTGGTCAATATTCAATTTTCTTGTCTTGGATATCCAATCCAATGGTGGAGGTTTAAGTGGGCCCAGGTGGCTGTTTCCTACCTGCCCACCTAACTTGTTTATATCATCAAAGTGGTAGATACTTAGATATTGATATTCCACTCTCTCAACCTGGTTCCCAAAATGCCCATGAAAGGGAAAATTATAAAAACCTAAACTGTGTTTTTTTTAATATCCTATAAACCTCTCTTGGGTTTTGATGTTAATAATAATGAACTTTCCTAATGTTTAAAAAAATAAAAGGATAGGAGGATCAAATGGAGTATGAGAAGGCAACTTGGCTGCGAATTTGCTTGCTAACTTGAGTGATGTCTAATGCCTTCATCGTTAGAGTACTAGGTTTTATTTCTTTTTCTTGTTCTTGGGACATGYTCTCTCGATCTATCAAACAAAAAAGTTCAAATTCCTCTTTCTTAGTTTCCTAGATTTCAAGTCATTTGGACAAAGTTTGTTGGAAAATTGATATGTTATTTTTAAAAACTTAATGCATTACATCAATGTTTTTCATCTAGAAAACTAATCCAAGGGAGGTATTTATCACCCTTTTTTCAGATTTTTTTTGTTAGGGTAAAAACACAAAGGTTTATAAGGATTGTTGAAAAATACAAGTAGGGGTGTAAACTGATCGAATTTGAATCGGATTAAATAATATCCAAATCTGAATTCGATAACGGAATTCGATTTAATATCCGACGGATATTGAAAATTAAGATCCGAATTTGAATCCGATTAAATATTCAAATATCCGATTTGGTTTAAATTCATTAATTAATTATTTTAGATAATTAATAAATATATAAAATAAATATTTTATTGATATAAAATATATAAATATATAAATTATTTATATAACTTAATTATTATGTATATAAAATATTTTATATATTATATATAAGAATTAAATAATCGGTCAAATTTGGATATTTATCGAATCGAATCAGGTCATATCCAAATTTAAATCTAATTAACTATTTGGTATGAATAGGATATTCGAATTCGACTTATTAGATATTCGAATTATCCGAATTCGATTCGATTACATCGAATATCGAATTCGAAATTGGATTTCCAAGTACTGTTTACACCCCTAAATACAAGCGAGGTTTTGTAGTTTTCTCATAAAAAGAGAAAAGTGGTTAAAAATAAAAAGACAAAAAAGCAACTTGATGGTACCGATTAGATGGCATTAACTAATGCTTTAATGCTTTTACTTTTATGAAGTTAAGGGGCTGTACAATCTTGTGAAGAATCAACCAAACAAGGCCAAATGATTATAAATAGAAAAGCATCCACTTGTGGAGCCTATAGTGCTTTATCCAGAGTTTTCTTTCTTTCTAGAGGTTCTTTCTTTTCTATTTAATCTTGTATTACTTACCTTATTTGACGAAGGGGTTAAATATAAAACCTCGTTTATTGCCATTAAGGTCTTGTTTGTTTGCAACTTTATAATTTATCAAGGTAAGTGCACTTATCCGTGTTCTTTTGATTTTTAAGATTTTCAGGTAAATATTAGAATAACATTTTTATCCATAAAAAACTAATATAAAAATGGGCAAAGTTGTCTCATTTTACTTTATAAAATTTCCTCAAATTTATTTATCCACCTGGGAGATGGATAAGTTTTACCCGAGAAGTAGAGCTTATTTTATTGTCGAATGAATCCATTAATAAATGCAAAAAGAATATTGTAAAATTGATCAAAAGTAAAAAGATACCCATTAACCAGCTTTCTCAAGCTTATTTACCGTAAACAAACATGGCCTAAGAGAAGAAGATAAGTCAGTAAGTACAATGGATGATAGGAATTTAGTAGTAGAAGCTACTCCATGGGTGAGCTTGTTTCGTTCTCTCCCAATGTGCCGCACAGAACTGTCCTGAAAGGCAGAAAGAGGATTTTCATGTCTTCTCAAGATTGGGAGCCTTGGGAGGGATACCCCAACGACTAGTTTCTTGGGTGGGCCACGCTCGGCCTGCTTCAGGGCTGCAGGTGGTATGACACATACAATCGTGTTGTGTCGTGCTGGTTCATGGACATGAAACCCCCAGCCTGACACGGCCTGCATGATCATGCTGTGCCCAGCATAGTCCGCATTTTATCGTGCCAGGTCAGCCAAAAATCATGCCAAACAGCACGACCAGTTTTACAGCCCTATTCAAGAATCAACGCTACCGGAGATAAATCCAAAGTAGGGCACAGAGCCCGTTCGCCATAGTCTTGTTGTTCAACTCCACCAAGATAATGGAAGAAGAAATGCTTTGCACAGCTTTTGAAAATCAAGTCAAACCGTACTGTTAGACCGGTTGATCTGGGAACGGTCATGGCTCTGGGTCTGGTTTTGGACCCTAAAACTATCTGGTTGGACTTCGGACCAGATGGTTAGAGCATTTGACCTGAGAACTGGTGATCAAAATAATTTTGTTTTCAGTCCGGTTTTAAAAACCGGCTTTACAACTCCAAAAATGCCAAACCGCAAAGGCCAGGGCTTCAGCTGAGAGGAAGCTTTAGATTTCAAGACTTTGCACAAAAGACACTCTCGGCTCTCGTCTGGAGTTCCGAACCACGCAACCTAAGCCACAGATACCAGTCTCCGACTCAGAAGCTGCATTCACAATTAATTCCCCCCAGAACAAATAACTCCTAGCAAGGATTGACATTAGGGGTCAGCACAATAACTCCAAGATACATACATTCATTTGTTAACTTTCTAACTGAATTTGTATTCCAAAATTGATGATGTTCATCAATTCTTAGCTGAATCAATAAGCACAAAATAAATTTGGATTCGACTATACCGGAAAGACACGATACCAGTAACCAGAAAAACTTTCAATCAATCAACCTGTATAGTGACCAATGAGATGGTATTATCAAAATTTAAGGGGTACTTTGATTGGTCAAAACTCTTCTAATACGGTAGTATCATATCTTTCAAGTATTATAGATTTAAGATATCCCTAATTGTTGAATGAAATTTATTGAAAAATAAACAAACTATGATATGAGTATGTTGTGGGTTTTCATCGGATAGGCAGCAACTGTACAATTCCATGTTGCATTTTTCTCTTGGAAAAGTAAGACAAGACAACAAGGCATGGATTGCCAGTTTGGCACTTAGTGAGAGAGAAGGCTATGAGTATGAAATTTATACACACAAACCTATTGTTCACTTGTTTATGAAGATTATAAGTCAAATCAACACAAATTATCATAGTTTTCAAAACCAGACCGGAAAAACCGGGAACCAGTTAGGTGACCGGTTCGGTTTTTCCCAAAACTAGAATTTCTTCAAAAATCGTTGATTTTAGTTAGCAAACTGCTGACCCGGGCGATTAATCATTCGAATGATTTTGACCATTTTTTATTTTTTTGTCAGAATGGGCCAACCGTTCGGTTCGAACGATCGGATCATTCAGTTCAAACGATCGGACCATTCAACCCGATAACCAGACCCCTGACCGGTTCGATCTCCGAACCGGTTTCAAAAACCATGCAAATTATATACATACCAACTTACAACTTGTATGATAAATAGGGTTGATCACTTCTACCTTCTACCAGGCCCGCGTTGCCCGGTCTGGCCCATCCCAAAAATTTATAGGCAAGGGCAAAACTTTTTCTTTATAACTAGTAGAATGGCCCGGGGTATTTGAACCAATGGTTGATTAACCACAATAAGCATTGGGGTCCTCATTCATCCCCAACACCTCAATGTATCAAGTTGATTGGTTCGTTTGAAGATTTGTTATTGTCTAATTGATTGTCATCTGGCAATATCTATACTTGTAAGAGTTTGTATAGTGTAGACTATTCCTCGTAAACAATTGAACCAGTGCTAGTAACTGTGCAAAGTACAATAATAAGCAAATATATATGTGAATAATTCAAAATTTTGATAGGTTAAAGGATTGCATCGGGCAGAGATCAGTATGTGGGTATCTTTTCTAGTTTTCTTAGCAAAAACCTATGCAAAGACTACAAGGCTGAAAATAAAATGTAAAATTTTCTTAAGCAATCACTTTGTGCTAAAAGAGAAGTACTAATAAAGTTCCTACAACGAATTGACAGTTGATTGGACCTAACATTGAGTAGTTTCATATGGGTTTGGCCATATCTAGATATTTTAGACAATATAAACGAAGGTGCAGATGATATCAACTGCAGATGATATAATCATAATGAAATATAAACGAAGGTGCAGATATTTTAGAAAATATGAATTCATACTGCATAAATTTCAAAAAAAAAATCAAATCTTGTTGCAATAGATATAAGAAATAATGGAATATAGTAAGAAATTTATGGGGAGATACAAATGAATAGTGAATTCCTTGGGGAGTCTAAATTAAGAAAGTTTGTAACCAAAATACAAAGACAGCATTAATGTATCACATAAAAAATAAAACAATATTTTTCAGATATATGCTAAATAGGATAAAATATACCTGGATTTCTACTTGAAATCACTAATTTGAAAGTCTATTTATTCCATACTTTTATTACTTGTATCAGGATTTCATTGAATTGAAAACAGAACTGGGGCAAGAAATCCACCTAAAAAGACATGTTTCAGACTATTTGGAATTTGCAAAAAAAAAAAAGTAAAAAAAAAAAACTTGATGAACTCCTACAAAGAATTGACAGCTAATTGGACATAAGATTGATGAGTTTGGGTATATGTAGTTAGTTTCATTAATTAATAATAAATGCTGACATATTTTAATAAATATTTAGAGAAAAGTTGTACTCGAATTGTTGACATGGCCATCTTTGTTGGGGGATGGTAGAAATAATTCTCTAAATCTTACTTACATATCTTAATAAATAGTTCTCTAAATGTTTCATGTTTCCAAGAATAGCTATGTGAATTAGTAGATGTTGCATTGGAGTGGTGAACAAGATATTTGTGTTTTTTTTTAAGTGTAGCTCAAAGCAGTTGATCTATTCAACTCTGATGAATAGAAAAACAGTCTAACTTGCTTACTTTTAAATATAGCTCAAAGAACTTTTTTTCCTGTTTTATGATAAATAGAAAAGTTGAGGTGCTAATTCCAAGGCTATTTTTATCTTATTTCTATTTTTTTCTATGTCCATTCCACATCACCTATGATGAATAGAACAATGCTACTTTCCTCTTGTTCGTTGTTTAGCACAAAAAAAAAAAAAAAAAAATCATTCATCCAATGGAGAAGAGAAACTTCTGTTCGCCAATGCTAATATCAGGGTGCTCATCCAAACGGACAACCCGGCATTTGCAACCTTGCAGGGGAGAGAATGGGATAAAAACGCATTTGTTATTTGGCCCCCCCTCTCATATCCAATTTCCAGGGGTAATATTGGAATTGTATAGCAGTGTTAGACCATTGTACTTGCCCCACTTTGATAAACAACGTACGGCCTTATGGTAGTTAAATATTGGGAAAACGAAAAATATAGAGGGTAAAAGGGAAAAGTAAAATCAGGTTTTTTGATGGGACAATTATTCACATCCTCATTTTTATAAATGGTACAGAAAAGTATCATAGCCCATGCCAACATCAAGCCCACACAATGCGACTGCGAAACCAAACCCAGGCCTAAATTGAGAACCAAAAGTATGTCTTCTGTGATTATAAATAATACTCTTACACTTAAATTTACAATTTTTAAATGATTTTATTCTCTTCCTTTTTTTTTTTCTTTTCAGTTTATTAATTATTACAAACAGAATGCAGGTTATATCACATGTCCCAATCCTACTCCCACTCCCACTCAATTAAAAACATCTGAATTTCGGCATTTCGTTGTTCCATTGCAAGTGAAACAAAAGGAAAGAACAAATAAACTAAGAAATCAAGTTGTCCGGACAATTCTCTTCATCAGAAAAGAGGGGAAGAGAAAATAGAAATGAAGAGTGTAGGCAAAAAAAAAAAAGGGAAAGAAAACCCCTGTCCCAAGGGTTTTGTCAAAATCTCTTTTAACCCGAAAAAACAAAAGAAAAAAACCTCTTCTCTTCACAAAAAAAAAAAAAACGTTACATTGTATAAACAACAAAAGAAATTACAAGGCACTGTAAATGTACCCAACAACACCACTATTATACATGGATGCCCAGAGTCTATATATATATATGTATGTATCATTCATATATCATATTTTCTCACCATCACATCTTGAGACCCAAAGTCCACTTGGGGAAAAAAAGGTTAAAATGTGGAGGAAAAGAACACCAAAAAGAATAATTAACTAATGAGACAAACGCATTACTACCACTCCCGCGGGAGAAACGACTGTAACTTAAATGGCTACCTGCCTATGGACTCAATATACAAGGAGGCGACCCTCAGGGGAACGCGTGCAGCAGTTAACTTTGATAGGAAGAATCGCTAACCAATCCCACCACCTGCAATTTGGCCTTTCTTTTCTAAGTTGTAGCCTTGATGAACCCCGACCCTCCAGTCTCTTGTGTCAGGAAACCATGGGTTCTTGTGTTGTGTGGAAATCTTCAAACGTGATTCAGGGACAATATCACATGCTTGAGAATTCCTGTTAAACCGCCAGGTTTTGTACAAGACAATCACCAGAAACCCCAGCTGATGACACAAGTCTTGGGGGCCTACGCCCTTCAAAGAATATAAAAAATCTGAAGCTTATCTTAAATCCAGGCAAGAGAACCCCGATCGCTTGCAACTTGAGGACGGCCTCTGGTTGGTGTTGGTGGTCTGTTAGCATTAAGCTCCTGAACTCACACCAAGTAAATGAACTGAGTTAATACACACACCATGCAAGAATATACAATAAAGAAAATTAATCAATATAAGCACTACATCCCCAGTCAGAACAAGCGAGCACAAAATATATATATATATATATATATACCTGCATCCATGTATCCTCTATATGGTGTTCTGGTGATGTTTGTGGTGTTGCGATTGCTGGTGGTAATGGGTGGATGAGTTTTGGTACTACCACAAGGTCTCTTCCTAAAACTAAGATGGCCCCTGCATTATTTGCAGTACCTGTAGAAGCAGGTAAGAATCTGAGTTAGAAGACTGAATCCTAGGATGTATTGAAAGGAAGATACCAATACACTTACCACAATAATTGGTAGCTGAAAAAAGAGTAATCAAATGCCCTTGGGCAAAACGCTCAAAGCCATCCATCACACATTCATGTGCACGTACAATCAACTGGAGGTCATTGTTGTTGCAGAACTCCATTACACGATCAGGCTGCAAAACCAAATCCCTTTAGAGAGAACAAGGTTTTCCCAATATGGCATATGCATTTTCCAAACAGAAGCAAGAAATTTGAGTGCAATCACAAGGATCCTTTGGCTATGGCAATACAATGCCCAACAACAGTACCAAGTTTCCAGCAGATATTCAGATTCAATCGACAACATAGCAGCCAAGGTTTAAAATATTGATACACCCCGATGCACCAGAATGTGCATATTAGGGGTTTGACCAACATCTGTGCTATTATTTTTTCATTTATTTTTAAATTTTTACATGGGGGACGGTCTTAGCAAGGCTTACCCCTGAAAACATTAAAATTTTAAAATACTTAAATATTTCACATACTGGGGCAGGGCCAATACGATACGATACACCTGATGTGCCCCGATATGTGACAAAAATTTGAACCTTGATAGAAGCACAGACAAAATGAAGTCTGAAGAAGACACAATAGTTCACCGTTTAGAAAAAGTTCCTATGCAAGAACCAGACAATATTTAGCCGTATAGAAAAGACCCCAAGCAGGAACCATAACCTGAACTAAATATTCAAACCAGAACCAAAGTTGATTTCAAGTCCTGGAACCAGCTTTGCATCCAGAAGAATTTCCTATTTACATAAGATAACATCGGAGAAAACTACAGCTTACATAGCAAAACATGAAATGCTTACTACAGAAATAGCTTTATATATTAGATGAAGTAAATTGACACATAAAGACATTGAAAACTAAAAATTTAGGTTCTGTACTGCCCAAGAACTTTATTCTTGCTCCTTCATAAGTTTGGTAATGTTTTGTGAAACATACAAAATAGAACAACAATCAGAAGAAAAACATCATCCTGTTTCTGCATTCATTATTAACTGGAGCTTACCTACCTTTAAATACAAGCCTTTAAAAGCCTCAATCTCTGATGCAGCATGGTCAGAAACCCCAGGTATGCAACCTGAGAAAGGTTGGATGTGGAGTAGGATTTAGTAGGGAAAAGTGGGTTGAGTCATAGCCTTGAATTAGAGTCATTGGCATCTTACCTTAGAACTCTAATTCTAGATTGGAATCACACCTAAAAATCAAAGGAGTCAGACCTCCTAAGAAAAGGATGGAATCACATCACCAAGGCACACAGTACTTAAAACTTTACTCAACTCTCTCTCTCTTTCCAGAAAACAAACTAGAAAATTCCTTTATATAGGAAAAGCTTGCTCGCTAATGAAGGGAATTAGCTTTGAAATTTACTTTTCTATTTCATAACTAATTTTCCTAGAAGATGACAATTTTAAATTCCCATACATTTCTTAGTTGATAAATACTTGACATCCTTATCTCCAATATGTATGTTGTCATTTTCCATTTTTCCTTCAGTTCCAATAAATACTAACACCAAGGTTTATTTGGCATGCATTATTTCCTTGTTCATGTTTTAAGTTACTGGGTTGGTTAGTCATGGATCTAGGTTTTGGTTTTAGGTTATAGGTTTGTATACGAGTAATAGATATATTAAATGGGTCATAAAACTAGAATGGGCTTGGGTCTAGTAATGGATTTAGGTCTGACTAAGGATGTGAACTTGGTTATGGGCATAAACTTTGGTATACCTTGAAAAGGGCTTGAGTTTGGGCCAAATCTTGGATGAGATTGTAGCAGTATTAGAAGCCCAATGTAAAGTCCAATTATTGGCTTGTTTACTGTTTAGGGATTGACCTGTACCTTTGTGAGTCTAAACCCAACTTTTTAGTGTTAAGGTGCTAGTATTTTCCTACATCAATCTTTTCTCACTTTCTCAATTATGCCCATCATGGGTCATCAGTTTTGTGCATTCAATATTAACATATTGGATCAAATCATCCCTTTCATCACCAGTTCCACCATTAATCTTTAGTACATGAATAAACCATGTCATGCAACGTTATCAAACATCAGGCAACTCTGTTATTCTCTTCAATGCATTTAATTCTAAGTTAATACATTCTGATCTAGTAACTCATCCATATCAACATCATTATCCTGGGCATGCTCACACCAACCCTGAACCAAAAGCTCACCCTAAACCACAGCATTTTTTTCCTTTAATAATCCACGTACATAAACAAAGCTATTTCATTCACTTTAATATTCAAAAGTATTTTTGATGACCACCTCTTGTCTACCACCAACCTAGATGCCAGTGCAGGAAATAAGGAATTGAGATTATACAAAACACTCTCTATACTTCCAAGGAAAAACTAAAAAGAGATATATAATGGTTGAGATAAAAATGAGAAAAAGAAAAAGAAATCAAACACCAAAAGGCATGATTAACATGTTGCAGGAAGAGAATACCACATAAACTTTCAAGCTTTCCAGTCAAAATAAACATCTAAGACCACAAGTAATGGCTATGATTAGAGAGATTAAAGAAGAACCAAGAGAACAAATATGCCAAGTTCTCTCTGGAAAAAATGCATTATCTTTATTAATTTATTCTGTTGTACATTATTTCAGAAAAGCAACATTTAATCTATTAGACCTCGGAACCTTGAATCTTCTCAAGTTAGCTGATGATGGTGACATCAGACTTGTGTTTCAAATCATGCACATAAATAAAGTTAAACAAGCTTTCCTTTATATTGTTCTGCCACATGGCACAATGTGTTCTCTTCTAATGTTAAAATGGTACACCTTAATATCTTCTCCAAACAACAGCATACTAAGACGAGGCATGTCAAGATCCAATAGCAGCTATGTCCACTAACAACTAAGTACATCACCCTCTCTTCTTATGTCGTCCCCATAACAATAGACTACAGAACTTCATCTATTCTCAAAACCAGGTTACAAAAAGCAACAGAATTTTGATTCCATAAAGTACATGAAATATATTGGAGATACTAATTCATTAACCCATATTGCTTGAAACAAAAAGAAAACAGGTTACCAATAAGTTATTCATTGGAACCAAAATGTCATGTTTGGCACCAGCTGACCTAATTGTGTAATAGAGAGAAGAAGGCTATCACCCAATGTTGGTCCCAGCTATCTGGGGTTTTGGGAGGGAGAGGCTAGATATGGTCCTAACCTCTTTTTTTTTGGTAATAAATAAAAAAGAAAAAAGATTAAAAGAAAAAGAAGAGAGTACAATAGAGGTTATAAGAAATCACCCACTAAAATAGAAAAGCCCTCCACAAACCTCTCCCTCAAAATCAAAGGAAACAAACCACGCCGGCAACATGTGTAAAACTCCCAACATAAAATGAAGCAAACCAACTCACCAGACAAAACTCACTCAACCAACTTCACTACTAACACTTAATGAATTTAACACCTCCCTACAGCTTAAAAAAAGGTTACCTTCACCACAAACCACCTAGAAAGAATACCCAAACTAAACATCTCATCCATAGGCTTGAGCAGAAGAGATTTTAAATCTCTTACTCGATCTCTGTTTTTTTTTTCACCTTCTTAACAGGCCCATGCCCAAATAATCCCATCCTCAATCTGGAAAAAAAATTTTGACATCTGAACTATTTGATGGTTGTTTTGGCTCTTGAACTTTCTTATTACTGCATTTGGAATCTTCTCAAGAACTTCAAGAATCTTAATTGTGTAATAAATGTAATCTACTAATCTCTGGCATTGCCATTATACCAAGTAATGGCCCCTTAATTGTGTAATAAATGCATAAAAAAAATAAAATAAAGAAAATGTGTCATAAGGACAAGATTTTAAACATCACATAGTAGGAAATAAACCAACTCTGGAGTCTGAACATAGCATGAAGCATATTGTACAAGAAGAGGACAGTATACAAAAACTTGACAATGGAAGGAGAATCACAATATAAATTAAAGCTACAGAAAAGTGCCCATAAAGGATGTAAACAAAACAAGCACCTGATATGAAGAAAATGAAAAAAAAAAAGAAAAGAAAAAGGAAAGTTTCTGTCATATAATCATGCTATGAAAATTTTGATGAATGAAAAAATAAATTTCAAAAGGAGTATATATAATACAGCTTTCAATGGAAACAGTAGGCATAAAATCATTTCAAATAATCCTTTTACTGAGCAATCTAATCTTAGCAACATGGCCCATTATCTTATCAGAATCATGAGTCTGGAAGATCCAACAGAACCGAAACAAACAGACCAAATTAGTGTCTGGGTCTGCATTACATGTCCTGGTTATAATTGGATCAGGATTAGTTTTGGTGGTTCTGAACTACATATATAAAATTATATTTGTATATTAGCATGTTACAAAGGTACTCCCAGTCTAATACCTATCTTTCTCATGCTAAATTTGTAATACTATCATGTTATTATATCCAAATT